TGCTAATTCCAATTCATTTCCCAAATCCATTTAAATAGAATATGAAATACATAAACATAGTGAATGTAGTCAAAACAACATGATTAATAATAGAAAAATCTTATAATCTTGCCCTCACTATCATTCAGCAAGTTTTTTGTTTGTTTGTTTGTTTGTTTTGTGTGGTTTTTGACCCGTTTTTTTTCTTTTCAGTTGACTTTGGTACAAGGTAAGATCTAGGGATCCAATTTCAGTCTTTCACAAGTGGATATTTAGTGTTTCCAACTGTCTTTCTTTTTCTAATGCATGTATTTGGCACCTTTGTGTAGAATTATTTCTGCAGCTTCTCATGGATTCTTTGGGATTAGTGTTGGCTTTGTGCTAGTGTATATTCTTTTTGTCACTATGTTCTGTAGTATAGTTTGAATTCAGATATGGTCATACATCCAGCACTGTTCTTTTTATTCTGGATTACTTTAGACATTCCATGGGTTTTTTGCTTCCATAACAATTTTAGGAGTTTTATTGAAGCGTGTCAAGTAATTGGGGCAGACATGAATGAATCTGTAGATGACTTTCCGTTATGTGGTCTTTGAATAATATGGTGATATGTAAACACAAGATTTCTTTCGGTCTTCTCATACCTTTAATTTCTTCTCTCAGTGATTCATAGCGGGTTTTGTTTGTTTTGTGTACCTTTCCTTACAACTTTAAGTCTGTATTTATTGGGCTCATTTGGTGGTTTGTTTTGGTTTGTCTTGTTTTGGGAAGTGGAAATGGGATGGTTTTCTTGAATTTGTTTTTTTTTATTTTAATTTTATTGTCAAGGTGATGTACAGAGGGGTTACAGTTCATAAGTAAGATAGTGAATACATTTCATTTTTGTTTTTTATTATCAAAGAGATGTACAGAGGGGTTACAGTTCATAAGTAAAGTACTAAGTACATTTCTTGTCAAATTTGTTACTCCTTCGCTCATTTTTCTTCCACTTTCCTTTCCCCCTCATCTCCCCTCCTAGTTGTACAAATTATTTCCCACATATTGTCTTGTGTATATCACTGTTGCATTGGTTCCCCCTTTATCGTTTGTCTCACCATTCTGTTGTTCCCCTTCCCTTCTTAATTCAGATAAATGTATAAACAATACTCAGGGTACCAAAAGCAAATACAGTGACAACGGGATAAACCATAGGGGGAAGAACACACAAAAGTAAAATCACATAGTACATTAAAAATAGCAACAACAAAGAAAAACCTCTTGTGTCCATGTCTTGGAGTTCATTTCGCTTAGCATCATCTTATATGGTCATATGTACATAGCTATTGAGCCATTCTGTTCATCTACTAAGATTATTCTAGACGTATGCTAATTATTGCAAATAAGGGAAACCATTGGACCTATGTTTTTTAGGGTCTGGCTTACTTCAGTTAATGTGATTTTTTTTCCCTAAGTCTTTCCATTTCCTTATAAATGGGGTGGTGTCATTCTTTCTGATAGAAGCATAGAATTCCAGTGTGTGTGTGTGTGTGTGTGTGTGTGTGTGTGTGTGTGTGTGTGTGTTACATTTTCTTGATCCATTCATCTAATGAGGGATACCTGGATTGGTTCGAAATCTTAGCTATGGTAAATAATTCTGCAATAAACACAGTTGTGCTAGTAGCTTCAGTATGGCCTTGTTTGTGATCATTTGGGCAAATGCCCAAAAGTGTGATTGCTGGGTCACAGGGGAGCTCTATGTTTAGTCTTTTGAGGAACCTCCAGAGTGCTTTCTAGAGTGGTTGAACAAGTTTACTCGCCCACAAACAGTGGCCACATGCCCTTCAGCATCTGCCATTATTAAATTTCTTGATTATAGCCATTCTAACTTGGGTGAGGTGGAATCTCAGTGTTTTGATTTGCATTTCTTTTATGGCCAGAGAAGTTGAGCATTTCTTCATCTGTCTACTGGCCATTGTTATATCCTCTTCAGAGAAGTCTCTCTTTAGCCCATTTATTAATGGGGCAGTGTTTCTTTCAGGATTTGTTTTTGGGGATTTAATTTTTTGAGTTCCAAGTATATTTTAGCTATGAGACCCCCAAGTATATTTTAGATATCTGTTGTATGGCTAGTGAAGATCTTCTCCCAATCTGTGGGTTTTTTATTGATCTTGCTAGCTGTGTCCTTTGCTATGCAGAAGCTTTGCAGTTTCATGCAATCCCATTTGTCCAACCTTTCTTTGATTTGTTGTGTTTCTGGGTCTCTATTAAGAAAATTTCAGGCTGTGCCAAGGAGCCCTAGAGTTTCTCCTATTCCTTCCTGTAATGTTTTCAGAGTGTCTGCTTTTACCTTTAGGTCTTTGATCCATTTAGAGATGATTCTGGTACAGGGTGATACGTAAGGATCTAGCTTTAGTTTTCTACATGTGTTTAACCAATTTTGCCAGCACTATTTACTGAAGAGGCTGCCTTTCTTCCATCCTAATTTTTTTTGCTACCTTATTGAAGACCAGGTGGCCATAGGTTTGCAGGTTCATTCTGGGTCTTCAGTTCTATTGATCCTCAGGCCTGTTCTTGTGCCAGTACCAAGCTGTTTTTATTAATATATAGCTTTGTAATAGAATTTGAAGTTTGGTATTGATATTCCTCCAGCACTGTTCTTTCTGCTAAGAATTGTTTTTGCTATTCGGGTCTTCTATTGTTCCATATGTATTTTTGGATTGCTTCCTCTTTTATTAAAGAATGAGGTTGGGATGTTGATGGGTATTGCATTGAATTTGTAGATAGCCTTTGGCAGTTTTGCCATTTACATGATGTTAATCCTCCCAATGTAGGAATATGAGAGGTTTTTCTACTTCTTTAGCTCTGCTTTAAGTTCCTCTTTCAGGTTTTTTAAGTTTTCATCATAGAGGTCCTTCAGTTCTTTGGTTAAGTTAATTCCTAGATATTTTATTTTGGGGGTGGTTATTAAAAAAAGGACTTGCTTTCCTGATTTTAGCCTTGCTCTTCTCATTATTATTTTTTTGGGGGGGTCCGGTTGTGGGGCCTGAACTCTTGGCCTAGACGCTGTCCCTCAGCTCTTCAGCTCAAGGCTAGTGCTCTTTAGCCACAGCACCACTTCTGGCTTTTTTTCTTTTTGCTTATGTGGTGCTGAGGAATCGAACCCATGGCCTCATGCATTCAAGGCAAGCGCTCTACCACTGAGCCACTTTCCCAGCCCCTCTTCTCATTATTGGCATACAAAAAAGCCATTGATTTTTGAGGGTTAGTTTTATACCCTGCTACTTTACCAAGGTTTCGGATCAGCTCGAGTAACTTGAGAGTGGAGTCTATAGGGTTCTTTTAAATATAGGATCGTGTCATCTGCAAAGAGGGAGAGTTGAACATGTTTTTAATGTCTTAATTCTTGATGTATAGAAAAGAGTGTGGTTTTGTCTATTGAGTTTGTAGCCTGCAATTTTGCTAAAAATGATTATCAGATCTAATAGTGTTTTACATAGTTTTGAGGTTTTTCAAGCATAGGTTCATATCACCTACAAACAAATAATATGCTTCTTTCTTTCCTATTTGTATCAATTTTTTGCTTGCCTTAAAGTTCTGGCTCACATTTTAAGCACTCTACTATGAGTGGTGAGAGTGGACATTTGTCTACATCCTGAGTTTTAGAGGAAGCACTTTTAGTTTCTCCTCCTTTAATACAACTTTGATTATATGGCTGCCATAGTTAGTTCATATTTTGGTATGGTATGATCCTTCTGTCCTAGTTTTATCATGAGAATTTCGGGGAGAGGACAGGGTCTGTATGCAGCATCTAGATTAGGCCTCCTTGATCCTGGAATTGTAGGTATGTGTTACTATGCCAAGATTTCTTTTTTATAGTGACATATTTAATAACACATGGTGTTGTTATGTAGAATATACATCTAGTAATGTCTGGTCTTTTCTCATGATTAAGCTGCAGATTATGTGGGCTTTTTGTTTTTTTCTTCTGATTGTTGAAAACACAGAATAACATAGTCTTTCACTGTTTATTGTGTCATTAATCATTAATCATAGATGTTTATCAGTTCCAAAGTTAGTGATATTAGCAATAGATGTCATTCCAGTCTTCATTATGACAAGATACTTTAAATTTATTGAAATAGTGACTCTTTCTGAAACTTTCTTATTGTATCTATTGTATTTCTGAAACTTTATTATTGTATCTATGAATCCTAAATCCCTCATACTTTATATTTTTAATAGATTAATACACTAAGAGGCACTCTTTTTTAACAGGTTATATATTGCTTTACTACTGTTGGTAATGTTCTATAAAATCTATTCAGTATTTTCAAAACATATTTTACAAAGACAATCTCAAAGCTGCATGGTACTGATATAGAAACAGGAAAATGTATCAAATGAAAAGAATATAAAACCCAGAATAAAACTCACAGGTTGTGTTATGTTGATTTTTGACAAAGATTCCAAGAATATATAATGAGGAAAAAACAATTTCTTCAAAATATTTTGTAGAGACAATTTGTTTCGTTTCTATGCTCACACATGGCACCTACAAATTTGGCTACTTCTCCAGCTCAGCTCTTTTTTATTCTAATTATTTTGGAGGTAGAATATCATGGATTTTCATACAGAGGCTAATTTCAAATCATGGTCCTCAGATCTCAGGTACATGAGTAGCTAGGAATATAAGTGTGAACCACTGGCACCATCTTAAAGTATTATTTTTAGCCAACATTAATGGCAGAAAGTGTTTCAGCATTATCCTTCCATAGATGAGCAAAATGTTCTTTGATGATATTTTCCTCTCTTATAGTCTTTTTTTTTTATTATTTCAATACTCTTTTTTGAAAAACTTTCAGTCTTTCACTTTAGTACAATGAAAACTTTCACAGATAGTATCTTTTCAAGTGGATTTGAAATTTGTTTCTGCATTTCATTTCTTTCTCTTCTTCATTTAACTAGTGTTTTAAAGAGAAAGAGAGAGACATATATGTAGAGTTTTATTCAGAAACACTCAATGGTTTGCATTATCTGTCAGTTTAACAACATGTACTCATAGAGGAGAAAACATAAATCGCCCGATCTTGAATTTGTTTGGTCTTCACTCCATAAATGATGGGGTTGAGCATAGGGGGCACCACCACATAGAGGTTCGCCACTAGGATGTGGATGTGGCGAGGAATGGTTTTGCCTCCGAAGCGATGGGCAAAGAAGGAGAAGAATGCTGGTGTATAGAACAAAAGGATGACACAGATATGGGAACCACATGTGTTAAGGGCCTTATATCTGGCAGCCCAGGAAGGTATCTGAAAAACAGTATAAAGGATCGCTGTGTAGGACATAATGATGAATATTATATCCAGCCCCGTGGAGAGCAGAGCCACAGTGAGTCCGTAAATAACGTTGACATTGATATTGTCACAAGCCAACCTGGCAATGCCCATGTGCTCACAGTAGGAATGGGGGATGATGTTTTTCCCACAATATAAGAGTCGATACACCAGGAAGATGAATGGACAACAGATGAAAAAGCTCCTGAGGACAGCTGCAATGCCAATCTTACCAATGACTGGTGAGGTAAGGATCATGGTGTATTTCAGAGGGTGACAGATGGCCACATAGCGGTCAAAGGCCATGGCCAGGAGAATAGCAGATTCTGCCACGAAGATGAAATGGATGAAGAACATCTGGGACACACAGCTACGGAAAGATATATCTGTAGAATGGAACCAGAAGATGGCCAGCATCTTGGGAGCTGTGGCCGTGGAGAGTAGGACGTCTGCTAGGGCCAGCATGGAGAGGAAGAGATACATGGGCTCATGGAGACTGCGCTCAGTGACAATCAGAAGGATCAAGAAGATGTTGCCCATGACTGCTACAATGTACATGGAGCAGATAGGGATGGAGATCCAGGTATGCAAGTCTTCCAGTCCTGGGATTCCAATGAGGAAATACCATACGTCCTGGGGGTTGGTGTGATTGTGAAAGGAAGGGTTCATCTGTGCTCTTCAGTCTCAGCTTAGAACCTTAAATGAAGATCAGGAATTTGAGAATTCATGGGCACCAGCCTGGCTGCATAAGATTTGATCAGATGTTCTTTCCAGGATTGTCATCTGAGTAATATCATCATAGGATGAATTATTGATCCCCAAACTGCACAGTTTCTATTAGGAAAAAAAAGTGTTTTTTTATACTTGTCACCAATATGAGACACTGCTGAATTCAAAACCAGGCACAGTAAATCTCAAAGCTATGGTTTTGATTACTACGTCCTTCTGCCTATCACAGCGAAAGTAGATATAAAAGCACAGCATCAAGTACTTCATTGACAGTATTCCTGAAGAAATTGAGAAGACATTGAATTAGCTGCTTTTAAAAGAGGGAATGAACTATGTTGGGCAAATTCCATTTCAAGCAATATCGCACATATGCCCTCTTCTACATTGATTAATCTCTGAATTGATGCTAAGCCTGGTGCTAACTGTTGAGACACAGAAAGGAAGTGAATTGATCCTTATCTGTCATTCAATCTGCTCTTTAAACTTTAGAGACATTAAAAAGTAAACAATTTGCTATGCCAAATTGAGCCAGGCTATTAAATATATATACATATACATATACATATACATATATATATATATATATATATATATATATGTACGTATATGTCTTTTATGGGGTCTATCCTACTTGGGTCACAGATAAACTAGATAATGTGCCTCATATTAACAAGTACATTATAGCAAAACATAATTTAGTTTTTCACACCAAAAAGACATTATGGTCCTTTAATCAAAAGTTAAAGGATGATTTACCAATTACTTGTTCAAAATGAATGTGCATAAAAGTAAGGGCAGTGTTAGATGAAAAGGCGGTCTAGGGGCTACAACCAAAGGGTAGGATGTGTGTGTGTGTGTGTGTGTGTGTGTGTGTGTGTGTGTGTGTGTTGTATAAGTATAAGCATGGAATGGAAATAAATATGAAATAGTCCTCATTTTCCAGAGGAAATGTGGATATCATTTTCTCAGGTGGTGTAGACTTTAAGAACTTACTGTATGTTCATATCTTCATTACACAGCAGTTCTATATTCTAACCATGATAGTTTTGCTACCATTAATTTTTAATTAAGTGGTATTTTGTTTCTTTTTACAAATGAACTTTCTATGATCTGGCATTTTTACTCTCAGTGAAATATATAGCAAGTTTATATTGCCTTAAATTGGCATGAGAATTTTCAAAACTATTTGAATGAAAAGATACTTGTCTATGGTTCTGCTTTGTTTACAGAAAGCCAATTAATGAAACATTTACTGTTCAGCTGCCAATCCTCAAGTTCCAATGGGATTTTGAGACTTCAGCTTGATAAAGAGAAGATTAATTTTGAAGCTCAGCAAATGCAATCCTATGCTAAAGCCATACATGCGAGTGACAGGTTCTCATGAGAAGCTGAGTTACAGGAAATAAAGACATCATAAGGACACTTGTGATAGGGAGAGATTTATCTATATGATAAAAATAAAAGCAGAAATGAAGATGTAAAGAAAGATCAAAAACAATTCTATAGTCTTTCTTTGAACTTTGCTGGTGATATTTTAGGACACCAGTAACCATTTCTGCTGTTTTATTTCCATTGTAACATACATAGCAGCCTGTGGTTACTCAAATTACAGATCTGAGCTTCTTGTAATATCATTCTGTGACAGTATTAATGACTCACTCTGATTGAATTGTGAATGAATAATGAGAGGGACATTAAAATCAATGTGATTCTGGGACCATATACAATCAGATGAAAATATGCTAACCAATCATATTCTGCTTCTATGACCCCAGGAAGTCAGTTTACCTGGACATTTATTTCTCTTATGTACAAAATATTGTAACAATGAGATGTACAAGACATTATGTTGAAAACTAACTTTACAACTTGTGGGGACAGGTGGTAGTTGTGGAAGTGGGAGGAAAGGGATAGTAGGGAAAAAACAAAGGAGGTATCAATGCTTGATAGAAAATGTACTCATTACCTTGCTCATGTAACTGTAACCCCTCTGTACAATATTTTTACAATAAAAAACATGCAAAAATATCTTTTTTAACTGTATTTTTTTGTCTTTTCTGTTTTGGTATTGGGGATCGAACCTAGGACGTTGAACTTGCTAGGCAAGTGCTTTGCCACTGAGCTACATCCCAGCCTACAAAAATATCTTTAAAAATTTCAAGTATTAAAAGTATTAAAGTATATAAATTATAAAGTGTCTATATAACTTTTAGATAAAAATTAGCAGCAAATTCAAGTGTTAGTAAATTGTGAAATTAGTACCTCAGGAGTAAGTATATAAATCAGATAGATCTCTGTCACAACAACAGATGATGCTAGGCCCTGTATAAAATCATGTAAAAAGAATGAAATTATTGTTACCTTGAAACAAATTTAACAATCTTTGATTTCAGGCTTATGATCCATTACTATGAGACTGAATTGGTTTAACATACCCACAAAGTATTTCTTGAATTTTTAAAAAATACCTTTAAGGAGTTGCACAAAAGAATTTCCATTCAACAAAGCAGTTTTGATCATTGTCACCCCTTTCAACATTCTCACCCATTCTGCCTCTACCTACCCCTTTTTAACTTTTCTTAATTTTGTAAGGTGCACATTAAATAAGTATTGGGTCTACTACATCAGTTACTACCCATGACTCCAAAGCCAGCACTTATTTTAAAGGTTCAGGAAACAGAGTAATGGACACAGGCATGTTTTGGGTGCTTTTTGCTTCCTCACTGATTTAAACCATTATTCCTTATGGGGGAGAGATAAAAGAAAAGCTCTGAGTTTCAGCCTTTTAATCTGTGTCTATTCCAGCATCTGATACATAATAAATACTAATAATTTTTATGGAAAATATTTGCATGTACATGTATATATAAATATAGACATTCGCTAATGAACTTGTTTAACCACTACGCCTATCTTTGAATCATAAGACCTATATTACATCTTTGTCTAACCTACAACTCCATGGAAGAAAAATAATCATTGTATAAACATTTTCTATAGGAAAAAAATAGCTACACACCACCCATTTAATTTTTAATACCCATAAAAATGTAGCACAATTGTCACTCTTGCTAAGGCTAAGTGCAGTTTCCATTGGTCAGACAGAGAAAACTGTGAGATGATTCAGTTCTTGAAAGAATAAGCAATTTCTGCAACTTCCTGACTCCTTCTCATATTATTTTCTCATGTTTTCATCAATCAATCTAGAGTCCTTACCTGGTACTTATTAAAATCTTGAAAATAGTTACCAGTTTGAGAGGAGGAAAATCAAAAGGAGAGGACCATAACACAGGTAACAAATCTGGACTGGTCTATTTATACCTCTCTTTAGATATCTCTTGGGTTCTACATTTAAGCCCGAGAGGATTGTGTTTGTGCCTATCGTGAAAGATTTCCAGGATCTAGTTCTGGTACAGAATCTGCAGAGAGAAGCATCATTGCCATCTCTTCTATCATCTGTACAATATTTCACTCCCTCTGGCAATCATTATAAGCCATCTAAGTTAATATAGCGTGGCCTGTTCAGATCTAATTTGTACTGGGAATTCATATCCTGTATCCTCAGAGGGTTGTAAATGCCACATACAGAAGAAGGACTTTGTACATGTTTAAAGGCAGCTAAATTGAATCCTCATTGTTTCATTCCCCTTGAAATCTTAAGGCTCTGTGACCCTGCTTCTCTTTTCTTCCACTGGTTATGTGTTAGAATTGATCAGCTTAGAACAGTTCAGAAACCCCACTAGTCCTCTCCGAGCCTTTGAAATGACCTTTAATGAAAGATAAAGATAGGGGGTGGGGGGAATGGCAAGCACAAATGCCACAAATCATGGGATTCAAAACTGATTCTGTGCAGACAAAACAATTATGTGTACATTCTCTCAGCTAGAACTTTCTAAATATTCATAAGTTTCTATTATTTGTCAATGATTCCCTTGAAAATGTGGTTGGTTTTAAAATTTCTCTGTTGCCTATGTTTCTAGAACATCCCCCATAAATAGGATATCTAACAATCAGCTGAGTAAGATTGGATGCTCAATGCTAGGCCAGGCTCCAAAATCCTCCAAATAAGTCATGTTGACCTTTGTTTGTTTGTTTGTTTACTAGTACAAGGAAACTTGGAGACACTAAATGTTTCCTACATTTTGAATACTTTCCATACCATGGTCTTCAGATCATATGATTGGTTAATTGAATAGCTTTTCCTTACTCTATTGTGTATAAACAAACAAATTAAAATCAGTACTGATATTGTCATCTATCCTGGGAAAACAAGAGAAAGAAATATGTTAAAGAAGAGATATAGAAGGGATGGGGAGACTTACATGATTATAGAAATGGACCTCCTCATCTGATAGTCTGTTGGTGACCCCAACCACAAAGATAGGATGCACAAACTTACTTGGGCAATTTCAAATTTTGTTATTCTATAGCACCACAAAGTCAGAAGTGGGGCTGTGGCTCAAGTAGTAGAGCACTAACCTTGAGCAAAAAAGCTCATGGACTGTGCCCAGTCCTAAGTTCAAATCGAGGACAAGCATTTAGTACATTTTACGATTTCTTCTGTTAACCTTTTTTCCTCTACAATCTTTTTGAAACACAGTTGCATTCATCTCACATTTGTATTTTTTCCATACTGACATGCTTATATGGCTACGAGCTCATTCATATTTATTCCTTCAAAGTAAAGTAAGTAAACAGATTTTTATCCATTGTGGTTGGACCTATCTATTATCACTCTAGAGGTACATGCTCAAAAGTACTTACTTATTTATTTAATTAGACCTCTGTCAGTTTTAGCTGTTTTTTTTTTCTTCTGATTCATATGGACTTAAGTGGTATTTCAGTGTTGTCTCAATTTGTTCTGCTTTCATTACTAAGTACTTTGAACTTCTTTGAACAAGTTGGGGGGAATCCTTTGGTCTTCT